ATATATATATATATATATATATATATTCATTCATCCATATTAACATGAATATCTTTAAAATATCTTTACATTTTTGAGAATCACACCACATGACATTTTACAACCTAATATTTTTCAACTTTTTCAGCCATGTAGCCTAATCCTGCCTACAAAAAAAGTAAATGATTAAATAAATAAAAACACACAAACCAGCCTAAGATAGTTCTTAGGTCAGGTGTGCGTCCATCGTTCGCTAACTATTGTCGTAGTTCCATTTAACTTTATTGGGAACGATAGAACTTGCGACCTTAGTTGCTTTTGGGAAACGCACCCCAGGCTTGGTTTGTTGGCTATTTTTAGAGGGATTTTCAAAAGAACCACTTAACTAGATGAAGTACAGAGTTAAAAAAAAAAAAAATTGCTCTGTACAGTTGCAGTGTAGCCTAGAAAGCATATTTTTAGACAATAGCCACCTTGCAATTTACAATGTAAATAAATGGTAAAACGATTACGGTAATCATTCAGGTCATGGCATGTATTTAGTTAAGCATTAAGGTACCACCACAGTACCTTTTGTACGGGATTAAAAAGTAAAACTAAAAAAGTTTTTCCATAGATCTTACGATCAAACCGAAACAACAATGCAAGTCCCTCAGGGTAAAACTGTAGTGTTCTCTTGTAGGGCTGGACGTTTGCGTAAACTTGCACAAACATCATGAGTAACCAAATTTGTCAATGAGCTGAAGACTAGATTAGAATGGATTAAAGACACATTTTTGAAAACTTACCTCAATCGTTTGGTCACTCGAGACGTTATTGTTGTCACAGACAACTTGAATAGGCTTCAACTCCAGCGCGTCGCTCATACTTCCATAGTCACTATCCCAACCTACAAAAAGACCCGGAACTGCGACGTGTAAAAGACGGGTTGCGAGAAGGTCTCACCGGGTTTGTGTTGTGGTTAGATAACAATGCCGTGTTCCCAATTGTTACATTTAGCAAGTAAAGGGTAAATAAGTTGATTCCAGGTTTCTTCTCAATGTGGATGCGGCTGATGATATAGGCTACAAGTGAAATGTAAGTGTTAAAAAGCGTCTCGTATTTCAGTTAGGAGGAGTGCCGGTGTATACAATGAAGCGAAACTGAAGTAAAGCACAGTTTTAAAGCGTTGCTTAAAGGAACTGTGAGTAACTTGCTGTCTGAAGGCCAATAAAATGAAGAAGCAGGCTATATGAATTCAGGAGATTTGGGAAAACGTGCTTTTTACTGTGAGGTTGAGGTCTTAGCCTACATTAAAGGTCTTTCACTGCTGTGATTCATATTGATTCCAAATGTGTTGGCAGTTATTTACAGTGATTTCAAATAAACAGGTGTCAAGGCATCGCCCTTGTGAACTGCATTTTGTGCACATTTACAGTGCATCCAGAAAGCATTCACAGCACTTAACTTTTTCCACATTTTATGTTACAGCCTTATTCCAAAATGAATTAAATTCATTGTTTTCCTCCAAATTCTATAAACAATACCCCAGAATGACAACTGGAAAGAAGTTTGTTTGAAATCTTTGCAAATTTATTAAAAATAAAAAACGAAGAAAAACAATCATAATTATTCACAGCCTTTGCTCAATACTTTATTGAAGCACCTTTGGCACCAGTTACAGCCTCAAATCTTTTTGTGTATGATGCAGCAAGCTTTGATAATCATCATTTGGCAATTATCTGCCATTCTTCTCCTCGCCTCTTCACCTCTCAAGCTCTGTCAAGTTGGACGGGGGCAAAAGCACATTTTCAGGTTTCTCCAGAAATATTTGATTGGGTTCAATCCCAGGTTGTGGCTGGACCACTCAAGGACATTCACAGAGTTGTCTAAAAGCCACTTTTGCTGTGTGCTTAGGTTCATTGTCCTGTTGTGCTCTGACATGCACTGTTAAATGTGGGACCTAGACAGGTGTGTGCCTTTCCAAATCATGTCCAATCAACTGAATTTACCACAGGTGGACTCCAATCGAGTTGCAGAAACATCTCAAGGATGATCAGTGGAAACAGGATGCACCTGAGCTAAATTTTGAGTGTCATGGCAAAGGCTGTGAATACTTATGCACATGTGATTTTTACGTTTTATTATTTGTAATAAATTTGCAAAGATTTCAAACAAGCTTCTTTCACGTTGTCATTATGGGGTATTGTTTGTAGAATTTTGAGGAAAATAATAAATTTAATTCATTTTGGAATAAAGCTGTAACATAACTAAATGTGGAAAAAGTGAAGCGCTGTGAATAATTTCATGATGCACTGTAAAAGCACCGAATTCGTTCAGCAATGAAAATTAGTGCTGTTATGACTAATACTGAGGCTTGTGTCGAGAATATCAGGTACTTTCAGACGGAGCTCTTTATTGAGGCTTGTATCGTTTTAGTGAAGTGACGTCAGTGAAGTTCAAAGCTTCGTTCGAAGGCAGTGGGTTCACCTTTGGTGTATAATCGAGCCTGAAGACAGTGAAAAAATATTGTTTTTAAAATTCTGTCTATTCCACATTAATCACCTCTTTTATCCATTCTAAAAAGGAATCATTTTGAATAAAAGCAGTTACAAAATTATGAAACATCATGAAACAACAACTGAGCATAAAAACTTTAAAGAATTTTACATGTGTTTACTATCCACCTTATTCTTCAACGCGGAAGTAAGCCGTTTTCTGTGAATGTGCAAGATTTCCGGTTCATTAGCTGCCGCAGGGAAATAACAAGAAGAATAACAAAGTGCAGTAAACGGTAAAACTGTTTTCACTACAAGCCAGTGTGTTTATAATTAAGATTTGACATTAAAATAATATGATAAGACACACCAATTTGCAATATCAAGCAGCAAAAAGAGCTGTTTTGCACCGGAAGCCAGACACATTAAATTTACAAATGGCCACGACCGCTCTTACGGGAAAAATAAGGTGGATAGGCTATGAGTGTATTTGTTAAATTTATCAAGCCCCTTTTAACCATGTAGCGCACATTTTGGTACTGTCACACTACTATTTTTTTCTGCACATTATTACGATGGACCAGCAGGTGTCCATACAGTGTGCATTCAAAGCCTCGAGAAATGGACCACTTTTCAGCACCTCTAGCTGGAAAGCTTTAAAGCTTCATCTTGTCACCTCTAATGAAAATGTATTCACCTTGTCACCACGTGTCTTTTCGAAACCGTATTTTCATCCGCTTAACACAAAAAGGGAGGTTTTGCATTTTCACAGTGCAATGACAGCCCTGGTTCGCATTACAGAGAAAATGAGGAATGAGGACTGAGGCTGTCAAGCTCCATATGTGTTAAGAAGAAAAAGAAAGAAAGAAAGAAAGAGACTGATATTTAAGTATTAATTAATTAATAAATTAACTGACAGTCAATAATAACTCTGTCTCTTCCATAGCTGCCAAACTTCATTCGAACTAATTCAAACAGGTTACAGCATGGCAACACGTCGTGCCGAAGTCTTACAAGTACTGGGGCCAGTTGCATTAACATAATCATCATGTTAAGACTGTGTCTTAAAAGTTAGTTTGACTAGCAGTTAATCAAGTGGTAATTAACCTTAATTTTCAGATTTAAATTAGACCAATCTACTTTTTTGTGTGACTGATTATAAAAAATTATGACCAGTCTTGCAGAAACAAATTAGATGACTAAACTTTTAAGACTAGTCTAAGCAGTTTATGCACACGGCCCCTGGTCTCTGCAGAACAGCAATGGGAGTTTCCGGATCAGTGGGCGAGGCCAGACTGGAGGGGATTTCCGACTGTTACCTGGTTTGCTCATGTCACTGTGATGGTTGTGTTAAGGGATGGGGTTAGTCAGTGACATCTCGACATTGTGTTTTTACATGATCACGTGATCAATCATAATTGACATTTTGATAGGCTACGTAATAATATTTTAATGGAAACTTGATTCATAATAAGGGGTTTGCATATTTTCACTTTCATTGTCAGCAGCTTTAGCATTCTGCAGAATAACTCGTTCTGAGTTCCACAGAGGAAAAGTCAGTCGGTTGAGTAAATGATGATTTTCATTTTCGACTTATCTATCCCTTTAATGTTGATCAAAGAAAGCTATGAGAAAAGACCAGATATCATTGTTCAAGATTAACCATTAAAAATACTTAACCCTTAGTTACTGTAGCTACATAATAAAGGAAAGCATCTGGTAAGTGTAAATAAAGCTCTTTATTCAGTCTTATATGGGAAGTAAAAGGTCATTGATGCAGTACAGTAGCTTTGCAGTCACAGTGATATATTCCAGCCATTTTAAAGTATCCTTGCATAGCAGCAGTGGAGACTGCTGGTGAATTTGGCTTTCGCAATATCTGACACTAGTTCTTTGTATTATTTATCTTGTTATTTATCATTTTTCTGCAAGATGTTAAAAAACTGTGCATGCATTCATTAACCATCAGAGAAAGTGCAGTTAGTGACTCATGATTTTGAAACTTTAACCAAACAACCTCTCCACAAGCCTCTAAGCAAACTCAATGTCAGCAAACTTAAACACTCAAAATGACTGACAGATAAAGCATTTCTGAAGTGTTTATGAACCATTTCTAGCCAACTTTTGCGGTTTACAGAGCCTGGGACTGTCACAGAGGCATGTCAGGTATTTTTAAATTAACTGACAGTCAATAAAAATACACCTATGTCAGTGGAATTTGTCATTTTGTAAATTGAATCACATAAATATTCAGATCGGGGGAAGGTTGGAACTTTTAAAATAGAGAATGCTCTCCAAAGGTGAAAGCGTTCTCGTTCTCTGAACAGCAAATAAGAATCCAACATAAGTTCATTTAAAAGCAAAAGCAAGCAAGATAGAGGCATATGAATTACTCAGACATGCCCTATAGAGTTTGAATAGAAACTCAGGGTTTGATATAATGGCTTCATTTTAGCTATAAGATCCCACCTGATCTCTTGATAAAACTTCAATGTTTTTTTGCAGTTGGTAAATTTGTACAATTTGATTTGTACAATTTTTTTAAAAAAGGGGTCCACCACTAAACCTAACCAGCAGTGGGGTGCAAGGAGATTGTATGAAAACATACAAATTAGATTGTACAAATTCACCACCAATTCTCCAACATAAAAGAGTTACAAATGAGAGTGTGTTGATAACATATAACCCTTTGTGTAATATTTGCTTTAGCAATATTAAGTCCATAAATCCACAGACCTCAAAGAGGTTCAATTCTGGCATTCAGACATTGTCCCTCTTCATCTATACTGGAGTCTGTTCTCAATGAGTTCACTTGAATTTTTGTTAGAAACTGCAGTTATTCAACTGTTGTCTGCAATAATCTTCTCACAATTCTAGGTTGCTAAATCAATGCTTATTGGCAAAAAAAAATTGATGACCATTACCCTGTTACTTCTATTCTGGGTTGTTCTCTGCAGCCAGCACTTCCTTGTCCTCTTTCACTTCTGTCCTGTCCTCTTCTGTCTCTTCCTTCTCTTCTTTTTGGTCCTGTTTACAGTCAGAAGGTTCATATCCTCCTTTAGTTACTTCATCCTTATTTCCTATATGGGTTACTTGGGTCCCCTCATTTTCTTGGGGTACATCTCTGTGCTCTGTCCTGTCTTTTTCCTGTTGTGGGCCATTGGTGGGTTGAGCAGAGTCCATTTTATCTTCTGTATCCTCCTGCGAAGGCCCACCAATCAATTCCCCTTCATCTCCATTCTGCTGTTGACTATCTGGTTCACACGGAGATTCATTTCCTTCGTTCCATTTTACCTCCTCACATGCTGACTTCCTGTGTTGTCGTGTGGGCAGCCGTCGCTTAAAAGACAGCCTAGCTCGACTCTGTGAAGTGAATGCACAAAATCAGACTCGCTGAGTTTGTACAAGTTGAATTCATACATTAATAAACTATAGACTACAACTGACATATTTACTTTGTTTCAAAACTTGAAATGCTACATAAACAACATGCTAACTGGTCAGAACCTCATAAATGAAACACTCTACATTAAATGTAACTCCACGTGCCAGACAAATAGCCTTAGTCATGTTTACCACACAACTCACACCTGATTCCAGCAGAGTTTGGCATTAGCATGTTGCTAAGCTAACAACACAATACTCATTTATTGAATGAATCATTTAATGAAAAACACATTTTCACAGTAATCTGAAATTAAGGTGGTGATGCTGGCTGTTTCTCTCAATATGGCAATTTGGCGTTTTAATTATACTGAACTATTTTTATTGATACTTTTTTAGTACTAAGTGAAATAAAAGCACATTTATAAACAACATTCTTCTTGACTAGTCAACCTGAGCTTGTCGCAGTTCAATCTAGGACTGGTTCCTGCAGTAGTACTTCCTTCCTGTGATGGTTTCTGCCTAGTTTTTTAATATAGCCAGCATGTTGGGAGCGCACATATGATGCCCTAAAACACGGGTGTCCAAACTCAGTCCTGGAGGGCCGGTGTCCTGCAGAGTTTAAAGGCAGGTGTGTTGAGGCAAGTTGGAGCTAAACTCTGCTGGACGCCAGCCCTCCAGGACCGAGTTTGGGCACCCCTGCCCTAAAATGATGTTTAGGTGGAAAGATTAGGTTTTGCAAACATAGCTGTTGCTCATGATGGCAGTATTGGATTATGCTAGATTTTACACACAACAAATAAAAAGAGGATTTAGTAGTTTTACGTTAAACCTGGACTCAAAATAACCATCGACAACCCACAGCTATTTACAGAATGCAATATTAGAGTACTGCCTACAGCAGTATAGGGTCATTTCTAGCCATTCATCAGGCCTTCATAAAAAAATAAAAAAAAAACTGTTCAATATATTGATATTTTTGAATGTGGTTATGAATGCACTACCAGTCAAAAGTTTTTGAACAGTAAGATTTTTAATGTTTTTTAAAGAAGTCTCTTCTGCTCACCAAGCCTGCATTTATTTGATCCAAAGTACAGCAAAAACAGTAAAATTTGTAAATATTTTTACTATTAAAAAACTATTTTCTATTTTAATATGTTTTATTTAATTCCTCCAGTCTTCAGTGTCACATGATCCTTCAGAAATCATTCTAATATTCTGATTTGCTGCTCAAAAAACATGTATTATTACTATTATTATGTTGAAAACAGCTGAGTATATTTTTGTCAGGTTTCTTTGATGATAGAAAGTTCAGAAGAACAGCGTTTATCTGAAATAGAAATGTTTTGTAACATTATAAATGTCTTCATCATCACTTTTGATCAATTTAAAGCATCCTTGCTGAATAAAAGTGTTAATTAATATAAGCCCTCCCCCCAAAAAAAATTTAGACTGACTCCATGCTTTTGAATGGTTTAGTGTATAATGTTACAAACGTTTTTTATTTCAGATAAATGCTGATCTTTGGATCTTTCTATTCATCAAAGCATCCTGAAAAAAATTACTCAACTGTTTTAAATATTGATAATAATAATAATAATAATTTCTTGAACAGCAAATCAGCATGTTATAATGATTTCTGAAGGATCATGTGACACTGAAGACTGGAGTAATGATGCTGAAAATTTAGCTTTGATCACAGGAATAAATGACATTTTAAAATACATTCACATAGAAAGCAGTTATTTTAAATAGTAAAAATATTTCACAATATTACTGCTTTTGCTGTATTTCGGATCAAATAAATGCAAGCTTGGTGAGCAGAAGAGAATACATAAAAAATCTTTAAAAAGCTTACTGTCCAAAAACTTTTGACTGGTGGTGTATATTTATATAAATTGTCTTAGTAGTACAGAATCAAGTTGCTTCTTTGCTGATAAATGAAAAAAGACTAGTTTGGTTTCTACAGTGAATTAAACATCTCATCTAAACATCTCGTTATTTTGTTTCCTGTCTTATACAACATCCCGTTATTATTTCAGTGTGAGAAATGACTAAAAAAAATGATTCAGTTAGTGAGTAAACTTTCCAAATTAATCAAACTGAATTACAAACAGATTCATGCCCTTTTGTGAATCCATTCATCAGACTGTATCAAAAGAGTGATTTATTTGCAAATCTCGCAACATAAATTTTAATTCTAAACAGCAGCAATGTAGTGTAGTCAACCCTGCACTACATACTGCCTATTTACTAGATGCAATATGCAATAATATATATTTAAAAATGTTTTACGTAAGAGAAAATTTTACATTTACAGCTGGTATTACTACCAATTCATTCCTCACAAGGAAACTGGAAGGTTGAGTGGAGACAAATGCATTGTGGCATATACATTCAATGTAGCGCGCTCTGTATGTATACTGCATAATTTGTCAAATGTACAGTAGTAGATTATATTTGCATTCCGGATTTAACATAGAACATAGTTCAGCAGCTAAGTGCAAAATATAAACAATCATGAGTTATGGCTGCATTCTCTTGTGAATGCTCTTTGAAGAGGTGCAGAGGGTGTGATGCAGAAGTGGCCTGATTGGATTAGAGTTTGCAAACCCTGTTGTTCTGTCCTCAGGCAGTGCATGGACAGTCTCTATAGGCTTACACAGAGCTTAAGCCAACAATACTGACTGCACGCAAAGAGACCTGCACCTTGATGCTGATATCATTCTGCACACATCAGAGATTCTCTGAGAAACAGCAAGCCTGTAAAAGGTTACTGCTGAACTTAGAGATCATGTTTTGCTATTCACATTGGTCTACAACAAATACAGGTTTTCAATGATCAACTGAACTTAAAATTATCACTCATAGTCAAAAATATGTGATTACGGCATTGCATTTCCAATAATTATTAACTGATGCAATCCAAATCCTGTTAAAGTATATACTTGATTAAGTAAATTCCAAGTATCCCTCAAAAAAAATGCAAAACTGTTGGTATTTTTCCACAAAGTAATGTTTTAAGCAATTTTTAATGCATATTTTATATTTATATTTTTATATACATTCAAAAAGCATTATGGAGTCCCCAAGGAGACATAGTGATAAAAACAATTATGAAATGGGGAGAAAAATCATATTTCTTTTGCTAAATTATTGCATTACCTAGAGAAATCTTGCATTTTCTCTCACAAAATTTGCATTCTCACAAACAATATTTGCAATCTCTTGAAAAAGTAAGTTTTGAAAAAAGCAATTTTTCTACCATCTAATTTTTTTTTTACCATTATCATGTCCCATGCATTTCCACTCTTCTGAAGTATAGGATTTTGTGTCAGCCCAGTTTATTTAAAGTGTAAATATTTTGTACAGAATGTAAATGAATATCACTTCTCTATCTGAATCAAATCTTCATTCTAAGGGACAGGCTTGTGTCTCATTGACATTACAGTAAGTTCCCAAACAAGAGTAAAGCGTACTTTAAATATACTTTGGAAAGTGAGATCCTTTGTATTGCTATTGATATTGGCAAACTAACTGACCTTGTTGATGCTGGGCAGTGGAGTACCCTCGACTGGCTGCTCGAAGCTAACCGGCGCCTCATCTTCACAGGACAGCTGAGTGGGCAGCAGGGTGGAGATGCAGGGGCTGATGGGACTGGAGGCAGTGGGCGGCTGTTTGGACTCTGGACTTTTGGGTGGGGAGAGCAGGACAGTTGGAGAGAGGGCAAGATTGGCCTTAAAGAGAGAAGGAAAGAATCTGTTATGTTCTTGAATAGAGACAAAACTAGTGGTCAAATGAAATAGTTTCTAAAATGCCGATATTTAGAGAACAAAGTGGACGATATAATGCACATTACCATAATGCAGCTTACTGATGATGAGATGTACATAAAATTGTGGGAGTTAAATGAACAATTATTTTACTTATTATTAAATATGTATGTAGTGGCACACCGGGTTGTGCATTGTTCAAGATATATAACTGTTGTGCTCAATGTCCTGGCTAACTAAAAAAAAAAAAAAAAACTTTCAGCTAGTTTCTAAGGTTTATTTAGGTTTATTTATCTAAATGTGACCCTGGACCACAAAACCAGTCTTAAGTCGCTGGAGTATATTTGTAGCAATAGCCAAAAATACATTGTATGGGTCAAAATGATTGATTTTTCTTTTATGCCAAAAATCATTAGGATATTACGTAAAGATCATGTTCCATGAAGATATTTTGTAAATTTCCTACTGTAAATATATTAAAACTTAATTTTTGATTAGTAATATGCATTGCCTAGAACTTCATTTGGACAACTTTAAAGGCGATTTTCTCAATATTTGGAGTTTTTGCACCCTCAGATTCCAGATTTTCAAATAGTTGTATCTCGGCCAAATATTGTACGATCCTAATAAACCATACATCAATGGAAAGCTTATTTATTCGGCTTTCAGATTATGTATAAATCTCAATTTCGAAAAATTTACCCTTATGACTGGTTTTGTGGTCCAGGGTCACAAATAAACTAAAATTAATAAATCAAAAATAAACAAATACTAATGAATAAAAATGACAAACTAACAAAAATGGCAAAATTACTAAGACTAAAGTAAAAACATAAAAACGAAAATTTAATTTAGAATAACAAAAACTATAATAGTATATCAATGATAATAAAATGAAACTGGGTCTAGGGTACTCAGTTTTGAGTTTGGCCTGGGTCATGTCTTTAACCTATTCTCCCTCTCTCTCCCACCTCTTTCCTGTCAAAATCACCACTTTCCTATTTACTAAAGGCAAAAAAGACAATTAATTAAATAAAAATAAGTAATAAATCAAACTTATTTGACAAAATTATCAAAAGAAACATAATATTTTAATATGGAAATATAAAATGTAATGTTATACATGTAAATATTTTTTTAAAAAGTGAATACAATTACAAAAAATGTATTAAATTTAATCAAGCTTATAATGGCAAGCTAATATTTTAGTAAAAATAGAAAATGCAATATACTTAACATGTTAAAATATTTGAATGAATAAAAATACATTAAGCAGTTAAAATTAAAAAATAAATAAAAACAACAAATTATAAGTTATTCATGTTTTTAGAACGCTGTCAGAATAAATAAAAAAAAATAAAAAAAATAATTGCTTTTAAATGGCAATTAAAAGACATGTTCGTCAGACCATTCATAGTAATATCTATGTGCTTAAAATTATCTTTACCTTGACTACCTGTGTGTTACCCATGGTTAACCTCTGGCATAGGCTGTTGGACATAGATCAGGCTTAGTTTATATTCCACTGGTTCTGGCTAAGATGAATCTCAACAAACTAAAAAGGCAACAAATCATCTAAATCTTATGAGCAGATATTATTATCAGTATGACAGAAATGAAACAGATATATAGACCTTTAAGAAACAGCAAGTTAAAACAACTAAAAATTGATTAAGTTCCTCTTGCACTGTAAAATGAAAGACGTTATTCCGAAATTAATATCTCCTACCTGTACAGGGGAGAATAAGAAGAGAGAGAAACGGCAACCCTTTTGTCCCATGACTGCCTGATAGCTGCTAAGTCGAGTCTAGTACAGCTCAGCACTCAGCAACTGTGGCTAAGCCGTTATCTCATTAGAGTCCTTGCCTGAACCATTTGGAGGAGACAGTGCAGACCTGTCCCTTTTATGAGCAGACGTATCCCACAGACCAATGACAGTTCAAACTAACTAGACACCTCATGAGAGATGCTGTGTGGGGTTTAGTTGCAGGTATTGACCATGCAGTAGTACTATTTAAACTCTAGGTGGCAGAAAAGTTGTGTTAAAAAAATATTGCTTTGTTTGCAGATTAATATTGTTTACTGCAAACTGCATGTTAACACTGTATACTGCCTAGTTTTAAGTAAAAGTGTCCAGTTTCACATTTTGTCAGTTTGATAAAATAATGACTAAAAGAAGATGATAAAAAATCTTGGTGGATATTATTATATTGAATTCATTGGTTAAAATAGAAGAACTGCATTTACTACTTACTGTATGTATAGTATGCATTCTATATACACTACTGCATAAATACTAAGAGTATTATCGTAACATGCCATTCTGAACATCTTAAAGGGTTAGTTCACCCAAAAATGAAAATTCTGTCATTAATTACACACCCTCATGTTGTTCTTTTGCGCAAAGAAAACAAAAATAACGACTTTATTCCACATTTTTGTCTCTACTGCATCACTTTGGACGCGCGTTCACGACAGTACCATGACGCGAGCGTGTGTCACACGGACTATTTTGTCGATCATCTTGGTACTTTTCTGGACCTTGAACGTGGTAGTTACCTTGCTGTCTATGGGAGGGTCAGAGAGCCCTCAGATTTCATTAAAAATATCTTAAATTGTGTTCCGAAGATGAACGAAGGTCTTATGGGTTTGGAACGACATGAGGGTGAGTAATTAATGACATAATTTTCATTTTTGGGTGAACTAACCCTTTAAGCCATTGGGTCTTGTTTTTGATATGCCCTTTCAATAGCACATTTTTAACACTAGGTGACAGGAGAGTTTTATAAAAGTAGCATCAGGTACAACAGGTATTCTTGCAAAATTCTATAATCTGACTAATATTTTGATGTTCAAAAGAGACAATAAGTTGGCCTTTACAAAAAAAAAAAAGAGGAGATTCCTATTAATGCTGCAGGAAGCATATGCATTTAAAATATATAGAAAACAAACAATTCGCTGCATGTTACTGTAACATGGCTCTGATTCATTGTTGTTGGTTCTGTTTTACCCATCATTTGACTAAGGCAATGTCCGCACGTACACAAGTATTTTTATAAACAGAGTTTTTCCTTCTTCCGTTATAAAAAAAATCTCCGTCCACATGAAAATGCAAACGCATGCTATGAAGCACTGTCAAGAGCATGCCAAACCAACAGGTGGCGATATAATCTCAACCGTAAAGCCATGTTGGCCAATCAGAAGCCTGAAAAAGTTTCCAGTAGGTGGAGATAACAGCGCAGGCTCCGACGTCACAAGCCAAAAACTCCGGTTTCGCTGTCTACACGATAACACTGAAACCGGAGTTTTTGAAAATCTTCACCCTGGCAGGCGTCTTCAAAAATATTCGGTTTCAGTGACCTGGTGCTGCGTTTGCGTGTGGCCGAACGGCCTAACCGCGTAGAAAAAGCTGCGGTTTTAAAAATAACCACGTTCGTGTGGACAGGGCCCTAGTTTCCCTGTGTGTTGATTCAGTCTCATTCATTTCACCTGTTGCTCATTAATTAACTCATTAGCTCCCTTTGTTTGCTCATGTTTAAATGCCTTCAGTTTTTGTAGTTTCTATGGTCCGGTATTGTTTGTATGTTACTATGCCTTGGTTGTGAACTCGTATCGCTTCTTTGTTGATTAATTTAAGCCTGTTTGGATTCATATTTCGCTTCGCCATCGTGTTTGTGCTTAAGCAACCTAGCAACGTGACAGAATACTGGACCCATAAGAACAATGGATGTAGCATCAGCCTTCATCCCCCCTTCGCAAAAGAAAGTCTTTCTTTGATTGAATATTCGGCCAAATTCAGTAAGTTGGCCCAGCTCTCAGATTTACTTGATGCTACATTAAAATCGTGCCCCTAAGCACAGTCCAGTGTTCGCTCCAGAGTTCGCTCCAGTCCCAATTGCTCTGGCACTCGTGTGTTTGGGCAACACACGCCTGTAATTTTCCCCAAAAAATTGAGGAGGGGGAGTGCTATACTCTCACAACCGAACTGGCTGTTCCTGACTCCAGTGATCCCACAGTCTATGCCAGTGATTCAAGTTCCTTCATCCCGGCTGCTAAGGTCGCTGTTGTCTTCAGTGATTCTCCAGGGTCTCCAGAAATCCCGCTCTCCTGCCTCCTCTTCCAAAGCCAGCCAATCATTCGGCTCTACCTCTGCTGGTTTCCTTCAAACCCTCTGCATCTCCAACACCATGTGTAGATCTGCCTCAGGTTCTTTAGTTCACCAGCTCTGTCCTGGGGCATTGATTCCGTGTGTCCATCTTGGGTCTCTGAGCCCTGGACTCCACCTCAGCCTTCAGCTCCTCCTTGGCTCCACGCTTCCTTCGGTTTCACTGGACTCCACCGTGCTACCTTGTGCCTCTGGCTCTGCCTTAGTCAGCCTTCGACCTGCTTCCACCATGGTTTTCCAGTCCTCTGGCTGTGCCTCGTCCCTCCATCCCTCTGGTTCAGCCAGGCTTCTCCTTCCCACCCACTCCACCTTGGTCCGCACTCCCTCTGGCGAGTTCTCGTCTCCACCTCCGTCCCGTGAGCCTGTGGCTCCGCCTTAGCCCTCCAAGCCTCCAGTGTCACCCAGGGTCTCCGTCTCCTCTGCTCCGACTGGGTTTCCACCTCCATCGGCTCGAGGATGTGCCTTTTCAGGAAGGGGCGTACTGCAGCATGTATGCTCTGTTTTCAGTTTCATTATGTTGCTGGTTCTTTTTGCCCAGCGGTTTGACCTAGTTTTCAGTCTCATTCAGTTCACCTGTTGCTCATTACAGTTAGTTTTTTCCCAACTGCTTACACACAAAATCTTTACTCGTCACACAATTTCTGAAACCTGACACTTAAACACCAGAATCATACACCAAATCTGCAAAACCATACACTAATTGTTGGCCTTTGACTCAGTTTTCAATTCCATAAAACACTTTTTGCAAAACACAACACACAATTCTCTATGTAACACGCAAAAATCTAACAGGAAGTATCTTGATTTCCTGTTTCAAACGCAACCAATCAAAATGCCACACTAATTCATCAGTGCCTTACACTAACCCCTCCACATGTGCAAACACTCATTGCTTTACTTAACACCAACCAATCATGGCTTTAGAATAGGCAAATGCACATCTGCACAACTACGCATTGATGTATTTATTTTCTTTCGTACTGTGTAATACTGTATTCACAACCACAAATGCTTACAGTAAAAAAAGTTTGGTTTCAATCTTGCTTTCGTGTTTACCGTGAATTTTTCAACATCTCTCTGCCGATTACTTTATATCTTGTACAGAAAAGAGCTTTAGGTTTTGAATAACTGTGTATATGAATATCAAAAAATACAATATTATGGCAAAGATGTTTGCAACAAATGTTTGCTTTTGAGATGTATTTGTGATATTTTGTACGCAGTGCTTCATTTTGCAAGAGATGTGAGGCATTTTGTGTGTGCAATTCTTGGATTTGTGTGTAAAGTTTTAAAAAGAGGCAAAGTTTTGAAAATGTAAACAGTTGGAAAAAAACTGTAATTAACTCATTAGCTCCCTTTGTTTGTTTCCTTCATCCGGTATTGTATGTTACTCCACCTTGTGAACTCTTATCTCTTTATGGCTTAATTAAAGTATGTTTGGACTCATCGTTGTCTTCTTCATGTTTGGCAATGTGAAAGTTACATGCAAGTTACTTCTTAATTACATATTTCAGCAAATAGTTTGACGAGGCAACAGATTTTCTGTTTCCTGAATAAAAGTTCACTTCGGAAATGATATGTGAAATTGATAAGCAACCTAACAAGTCAGCAAGGTCAGCATCTTTCAAATGCATCTTTCATATGGTGAAAACGTGTGCAAATAGCTGGCTGAAACTAAGATGTTGTGTGAAGCGGATAATCAAGGAAATCTCACCTGTAGTTTTTCAATGAGGGGTGAACTCTTTATCTTCATCTTAGGAGGATGAGGACAGACAGACGACTTCTGCAACAGAAAAATAAGTTACTTCAAAGACATTTGAGATGAGTCCATTTTACATGGATTCCTGGAATTAAGATATCACAAGGTGTTTTAACATTAATCACCTATTGATATCTATAACTCAATTAGTAACTAATGTGTCAATGGTTACATGCTCACCTCTTCATGTTCTTCATCTTTTTGGTTGTTTATCACCAGAGAACATGGGGGTCTTCTCATAGATATCACCTGCAATTCAGAACCGTACTGTAAGCTACAATACATGATCACAAGTGGGTCTGAAAATAGAAAATATTCATTATTCACTAACAAGATTGTCAGTAGACTTTGTAACTGACTCTAGCTGGAATCACCACTTTTGTTAAAAGTAACTCCTCAGATAATTTGCAGACCAACATTGGCACACATTGCTTTAGAACCATTCCTCAAGGATTTTTTTGTACCGTTTAATGTAATCGATATATGAATACAAGCAAACATAATTTTAAATAGGAACAACCAAGAGACAAACAGAAAGACGTCAGATGTTCCACTACCTCCATGTTTCCTGGCATTGGCAGTGCATAACCTTTGAGTTTTCCAGCCAGCTGAGCTACTGATGGCTTGACTGGCGCTTCCTCCTGCAAGCAGAAAAGCAGAAACTGTTTGTTTCACTCAAAGGTGTTACTGTTGGATATTCTTTGCTGATGGACCACAGTATCCTGATCTCACTTTATTGACACAGAATCCCACAGGGCCTGTAGTAAAGCTCAGACCACCAAACACGAGCGAGGAAGCTTGCGGGGGAATTAAAGTACACACCCTATTGCTCATTTTACACATGGGCGTCTTTTTCGGGCCCATTACATAAGACAAGCATGATGCAATAATGGGATCAAAATTCAGCATGTGCTTGTTTTTACTAGACATGTTTTATTAACTAAAGAACAACTGGAAAATGAAGGAGAGGCTGGCTATACTTGGAAGAGCACATTACCACTCTATTTTTGCAGTATGCATACTATGTGTATCTGAATGTACAATTAGCTGTGATTTCTATTGCATCATCTGATATTTTCATGTTTTAATCAGACTGGCAAGATTTTTGTTTTTCACAAAACAACCAGAGACCAGAGTTTGAATCCAGGATTTGATTCAAATTTCCATTTCCCTCTCTCTCTCCCTCTACCTTCCTTTGAGTTCTCCAATGTCCGATATAATTAAGGCAAAAATATGTGTACATTTTACATAAATTGAATTTTATTGGCCTATATCATTTATTTATCAGCTTTATATCATTCATCAGCTACACTGCTCTCTGGTATTGAAGCTTGTTTCCACCTCAAAGTAAAAAAAAAAAATTTAATAAAGTTTAACGTAAGAATAAAATAAATTTGCATTATAAGATATAAGGATCTAAATGTGAGAAATTTAGTCGAAATGAGAAATAAATGATCAACTGTGAAATATAAAGTTGCAATTGTGAGATATAAAGTCACAATTATGATATATAAATTTGTGAATGAGAGATATAACTTTGTATTTATGAGGAAAAAGTTGAATTTGAGAGCTATTCATTTGTTTTTGAAAGTTATAGTCACAATGGTGCGATATAAAACCGTAATTATAAGAAAGAAGTTGCAGTTGTGAGATCTAAAATAACAATTATGAGAAAAAAGTTGCAATTCTGAGATATAAAGTCAAAAGTAGGTTATATAAATTTGTGAACAAAAGTTATAAAGTTGCAGTTAGAGAAAAAAAGTTGAATTTGTGATATATAAATTTGTTATTAAAAGTCACAACTGTGAGAACAAAAAATTTAATTGTCAGATATAAATTTACAATTAGGATATTTCATTTATATAAAAATTATAATATTTGTGATTGAGAAAATATTACTTTGTAACTGAGAGATATAAAGTTCCAGTTATGAAAAAAAATTGAATTTGTCAGATATGTCAGATTTGTCAGAATTTGTTAATAAGAAACACATTGTCACAACAATTGTGAGATATACTTTGTAGTAGCATATGCAGCACACTAGTTTTCCATTCTGGACACAGCAGCTGTTTTCCACTGAAGAACAAACATGGGTGTATTCTGAGTTTATCAGCAACACAGCTGACCAGCATCACACTTACTGCCCGGGGGAGTTTATCTATCTCTCTCTCATCACGAGGAATATATCAGTGTTTCACTGAAAAGTGAAGAACATTTTATAAAAGCATTTGCCATGGCTGAATCTGTGCTGAACATTATCCCAAAGTATGTTTCAATGCCTCAAACACAAGAGTAAGCACTTGTTCTTGGCAAGAACTTATCTTACATTTTTTCTCTCTGTGTGGCTCTGCCAGACTTTGCAAACTGAATCATATCTCTCCAACAACATTCTTCCCAAATCTCCCAAATATACAAATTTTCCACACTTTATTTAACTAGATTTCCACACACATGGTGACCCCACTCGCCTTGCTTCCTCCAGCCACAAAAGCACACACTCTCACTTAATATCACACACTTTCTGAATACCACTGCACACATTTGTGCTTACAAGCACAGAAAGAAGACGTGTTTCCCCCAATCCACTTCCCTCCATTTCCTGCAGTTCCTTTGCTTCACCCATGATAAGCAGAATTCCCCTGAGACCACCCACCCCTTGACTCATTATTTTGGCGCCCATGATTGTTAACTCTTTCCTGTCCCTCGAAAACAAAGCCCCTGTAAAAAGGGTAAACTTCACAACAAGGACACTAGGGTCAGGAATTTGTTTAACGTTTTTTAAACCCAACCTTATTGGTATTTTTGGTAAAGAGGACTTGAGAAGGAATCCCTAGGGGGGGAAAAACATCACAATGGAGATCTTTGAAATATGTCTTCCATATTAATATATGTTTATGACTTTGTATTTCTTGCAAGGAATTTAGGAGATAGATCATTTTACTTAAATGTGATGTTTTTTGCATAAAGACTGTACATTAATATTACAGTCAAGTCGATTTAGTCAAAACATTCAGTTCCAATTAAAACAGTAAAATCTGTTAAACAAAACAAGACACACAATGCATAATTTTACGTATATCAGTAAGCCAGAGATCGTTTTAACCTTATGTTTGGATAAATCTGTAAGGCGGGTGGGAATTATGGGCTCGCTTTGGGAGTGGGAGTACAGAAAGCTCTATATTTAGGGTGCTGTGGCCTGAGAAATAAACCACAGACCGGCCTGTGAGGAGAAAGCTCATGTGCAGTTTGTGGTTTGAGAAACACTGGTTCAAATTTTGTTGAAGCAGTGTATACAGTAACTGCAAAATGGAATTTCTAATGGAAACATATTCACTTTCACAACAGCAGCCTAACAGCAGGTTCATGTTGTGCTTCCACACTGACAGTGAGTAACAAAACTCATAAAGAAAATAAAGTGATTTCTAGCTACACAGAGTAGGTTTTTTAAAACAATGGCCGTAAAACCTTAATACATTTTAACAAAAAATGACCTGATTAAATGAAGCCAATTTGCTCATTTTGGGTGAACGAACTCTTCAAATCAGCTATATTTAGTCAAAAAAATTAAAATGAGAGAGAGAGAGATTTTTTAGCATAAAATGATTAGCACACTGATATCTGCCCTTGTGACAGAGATGTGCACATTATCATTACAACTTTAATGTAATGTCTATTAAAACTTGTATGTCATGCATTTAAATATATTTGTAATAATTACATATTTGTAATGATGAAGTTGCAATGCAGTAAATTTTAAATATATTACCTTTAAATGTTATATTGACTGGTTTAAATTATAATACTTTACATGTGCTTTAGTATGTTAGTCAATACGTCAAAATAATTGTACTTCTTTAAAGCACAACAAAAGTTTGGGGGAAAAAATGTAAAACTTATTTTAAAGTAAAACTTCTAATTTAATATTATTACAAAGTGCACTTATAAGAATGTGTTAAGAAAAATAGTCATGATAGTGTACTCTCTTTAAGTACACTTAAGTGGCCTTTTATTTAATCCGTATTGTATTATCTGCAAGTATAGGTTTTTAACTGTATCTTTAAGATTTGTAGTAAACTACAAGTGCACATTTAAAGCACCAGTACATATATGGTTTACTAAAGAACCAGCAAAGTTCTTAATGAAGGTATCAGACTGTAAATCCCTTTTTAGTTCTAACCAAACCTTTATTTATAAGGGAAAACCACAAAGTTTCCCACAGGGCTGTCTTGAGCAGATGGTTCTCTGACTGGCAAAACTAGCAACTAAATTACAGTCACGAGAGGATCCAACATCAAAACTGTTCCAGAGACTGCTGAATTTATGGCTCCAGAGCACCAGACACAACATGTGTCATATCTCAGACTATCACCTCCCTTTGGAAGGGCGTAAATTAGTGCGAGAGGATACCACAGAAAAAATACAAAATTGCCTATGTTTTTGTGAAATCCAGACAATGTATTACAGTTTATGCTGTAAACAGAGAATTATCATGACAGCAGTAAACCACTCCAGTCTTTGCATTACAGTGATTTTACCACTGTTTAGCTAAGGGTTTAGCTAATTAGCATGTTCCCGTTAGCCCCTGCCCTATAACCGAGTAACTTCCATTGAGATAAATGTGAATGCTAATGGAGACCTTTTTCTCCAGATATGATAAACCGGTTTTAAACATCCCATTGTAATTATTTGACAAATCTTTGACTACCATGTAAATATAATACTTATCATCGCACACCAATGTACCACCACAGTACTTTTTGTTGCGCCTCTAATCATGTGCAAGAAAATTGGACAGCTGACCTCTTGGTACACCTTTGATGCCTCTCTTAAAGAGAGTCTTTGTCATAGAAGTGAACACTATCAGTAGACACATGATGCACATGATGCAATTTACTTTAATTCATGCTTTCTGGACACTCACCTCTGAGAGTTCAGCCAAGGTTCAAACCTATTTGGGGTCATGAGGATATACACTATATATGAGGTAAAAGGAAAAATATTGAACATAAACTAAAAAAAAACAGGGAAAAAATGAAAAATGGAAAGAAAAAAAAAAAAAAAATGAAAAGATAATGGTGATTTGGACTGATTATCTCTAGTTGAATGGTCCTGCCAGCTAAGACTCAAATAATATGGTCATTCCACATCTCATTAATATGAGAACAGGCGAGTATGTCTCCATCTCAGCCATTCCAGGAAAACATGATGTGTTTGAATTTTACATCATCGGAAGATCACACTTTTCCACTGCCTTCACCGGCCTTTCAGGCACACAGCTTGTGTTTCTCTGTGTGCAAGGTTCTCTGTGTGCTACATCACTCAAAGCAATGGGAGAAACAGCTACCATATCATGAGGCCTGACAGGAGGGAACTTTGTGACATTGACTAGGTGTGCACAAGGAATTAATACCAGTGTTTGACAGTAAAGCAAAATGCAGTAAGACAAGTTGTATAATAGTAAAGATAAACTGGGCAGGATGTTTATTCTTTATTTATTACATATCTACAGCTTCAAAAAGGATTTTATATTGGCTTAAGGTTAGTGTTGAGGACTCTGTATGTGTGTGTAGTCCTAAAAGTTGACGAACTAAATTCGCAGATATGAAAACGAATTTTTTTCTTACAATAAAAATTATGATCT